TCACGTGACCGGCTCTCCTGCGCCTGGCCACGCCCCCATCCGGTGTCCGACCACGGGGCTGCTCACGTGGCTCCTCGCCGCGCCCACTTGTTCGTTAGCCCGCCCGCTCCCTCCCCCCTCCGAGGACTCCGCAGTCCGAGCGCGCCGCCCGCCTGGGCCTGCCCCTGGCCACGCTCGCCCGGCCCCCGCCCGGTCCGTCTGGCTGCGGGCCACAGCGTCAGCGCGGGCCGGCCGGGCGTGGCGGGAGGCGGGTGCCCTCGGGGCGCCGCGGGACTCGGCAGACGCCGGGGTTTGCCCCCTGCCCTGGCTCCTGCGTCGGGAGCGGCCACGCCCGGTCACTCCTGGTCGGGCCGTGCCCGGACGTCGCGACGGCAGCTGGAGGACACGTGGGGTGTCGCTGCTCACCTGCGTCTGGCGTCCCTGAGGCGTCCGGGGATTGTGCTCCGGCCTCAGGCCTCGCGTCCGGGCACAGGCCCCGGTTTCTCCTCGCCGCCCTCGGGAGCGGGTGTCCGTGTCCTCGCAGCGCGCCCAGACCGCCGCGCCCCTCGGGACACCCTCCAGCTCGGCCCAGACCCACCAGGTGTCAAGATTGAGCTTCGCTTAGAGCTGAGCACTGCAGATGTCCCCCGGTTGTCCCCCACCCGACGTTGGACACCGGCCTCGTGCTCGGAGCGACAGGGCGCACAGCTCTGCCTGGAGCGTCTCGAAGGAACGTCTCCGTCGTTGGGACAGATGCCAAGACGCGACGGGGCCGGGCGTTCGGAACCCTCCTCGCCCTCTGGACCTGCAGACCCTCCTCGCCACGGCCGCCGGTGCCTTCGAGTCCGCCTCACGGCTGCGGAGGGTCTCGGTGTCCGGATGGGCGCTGCCCGTTGAATGATGACGGGCACCTCTCCACAGCCAGCCGGACTGTGGCGGCACGTCCACGTCGAGGAAGTGTTTCTGCCCTCTCCCCATTTCTGGTGGGGGTTTGGTTTCTTGCTGATTTTTGTCAGTGCTTTATCTTGGCTTTGGTTTTGTTTCGGGGCCACGCCCACAGTGCTCCAGGGGTCACGCCTAACTCTGCACTCGGGGATGTTGGTCTCTGAGGACCGCGTGTGATGCTGGGAACTGAGCTGGGGTCGGCCGGCTACTGCATCATCTCTGCAGTCGTATCTTGAGTATTAACCCTCCGATGTACAGACTATTTTCTCCCAGTGAGTAGGCTATCCTTTTCTGTTTGTGTTTTGGCCACTCCCAGCGATCTCGGGTGATTTCTGACTCTGCACTCAGGAATCACTCCCAGTGGTGCGCAGGGGACCAGTTGGGGTGCCAGGGTAGAAGCTGGTTGGCTGCTTGCGGGGCAAACGCCCTCCCCACCGTACTATTTGCTCTGGCCCGTTTCCAGGTTTTATGAGGAGTTTGCCACCAACCTGAGGACCGGTGGGTCCAACCTCACTCAGACACACCTGCGGCCCAAAGTGTGTGTTTCCTTTTATTTTAACCCAAGTTTCTTTTGCCATGCACATACTTTATAGTTCGACGTGGCTCCATTTTTTTTTTTTTTTTTGCTCTTTGGGTCACACCTGGCGATGCTCAGGGGTTACTCCTGGCTCTGCACTCAGGAATGACTCCTGGCGGTGCCCGGGGGACCATATGGGATGCTGGTTCCCATCGAACCTGGGTCGGCTGCATGCAAGGCAAATGCCCTACCTGCTGTGCTATCACTCCAGTCCCGTGGCTCCATTTTTAAATTTTTTTTTTTCTTGCTGCTGAAGTCAAATCACCGAAGATACTTCTCAGGTCCACGTGCTGGAAGGTTCTGCGTCTCCCTCAATGTACAGAGGGTCCTGGTCTTTAGGCTTTTTCCGTGAGGCCCAGGTGCTTCATGCTCTGGCATGTGGCTACCCGGTTTTCCCAGCACCATCTGTTGAGGTTTTCCTTTCTTCTCCACCCACCGAGTCCCACTGTTGCAGATAAACTGGGCCTCACACAAAAGCTCAAAGTGGATTAAAGACTTAGAGACCAGAATCCCTATGTACAACTGAGAAAGACCTAGAACCTTCCAGCACATGGACCTCAGAAGTATCTTCAGTGATTTGACTTCAGCAGCACTGTAGCACTGTCCTCCCGTTGTTCATCGATTTGCTTAAGTGGGCCCAGTAACGCATCAGCAGAGAAAACAAAAATTTAAAAATGGAGCCACATCAGACTTTTTTCTCAGAGTTTATTGACAATATCTCAATTCTTATGTGGTGGCCAGTACCACAATTTTGATTACTCTAGCTTTAAAGAATAATTTAAAATCAGGAGATGCAATACGTCCTATCTTTTTTGTCAGAATTGTTTAGGTTTTGGGGAGATTTTTATGAATACATTTTATTTTATTATTTTATTTATTTCGAATACCCCTCCCTCCACCAGCGCCCATTTCCCACCACCACGGATCCCAGTATCCCTCCCACCCCCATCCCCCATCCTACCCTGCCTCTGTGGCAGGGCATTCCCCTCTGTTCTCTCTCTCCTTTTGGGTGTTGTGGTTTGCAAAAGAGTTAAGTCTGATTTTCAGGGAGAAACGTTGGATGATTTACTTTCCATCGATCATTTTGTATATAAGGAGATGTCGCGCGGCCACATAAGCGGCCGTGCGGTTTGGAAAGAATGTCCTGGTGGCCGCTTGCAGGCTCATGGTCACCGGGGTTCCATCTGGAGAAGGCGGGATGCAGCACCTACCCCATCTGGGACCTCCTGGTGATATCGGCTCTGTTTGGGACCTGGAGCATTCTCCGGAAGTAGCGGGTACCCTAGGTCCTTGAAGAACATTGGTATCTGTGAGGGGAGTTGCTGGGTCACTCTTAGGCAGGGTGTTCATTATGTCAATGTTGATTGTTTTGACTCTAAACACAGAGTATGGTCTTTTTTTTCTGCTTTTTGGGGCACATCCAGTGATGCTCAGGAATTACTCCTGGCGGTGCTTGGGGGACCACCTGGGATGCCGGGGATTGAACCCGGGTCGGCCGTGTGCAAGGCAACCGCCCGACCCGCTGCACTATCGCTCCGGCCCCACAGAGTATGTTTCATTTTGTGTAACCATATTTCTTTTCAATAGTGACTTACAATTTCCGACGTCTAAGCCTTCCACATGCTTTGTAGATTCCTAGGTGGTTCCTAGATGGTTTGGAAAACTTATTTTGGGGCAACACCCAGTAGTGCTAAGGGGACCATATGTGGTGCTGGGGATTGAACCCAGGTCAGCTGCATGCCCTACCCCTTATCACTCTGGCCCTATTTTAAATGAAGTTTGTTTTTTAAGCTCTTTCTTTTCTCACTGTTTGCATATGACGGGTCTTTGCATGTTGAGTTTGTAGCCTGCTACTTTGTTGTACTGGTTTACTGTTTTAGGGAGGGGACGCCTGGTAATGCTCAGGGATCATGTGGGGTGCCAGGGATGTATCCAGGACGGCTGCGCGCCAGGCAAGCACCCCACTGCTGTTCTATCTGGCCCAATTTTTTTTGGGGGGGAGGGTCACACCAGGCAATTTTCAGGGGTTACTCCTGGCTCTGCACTCAGGAATTCCTGCTGGCAGTGATCAGGGGACCATATGGGATACTGGGAATCGAACATGGGTCGGCCGCGTGCAAGGCTAACGCCCTTGCCGCTTTGCTCTCGCTCCAGCCCCTCTGGCCCAATTTCTAAGAAACTGGAGTGTGTAGGCTGTCGCATGTATTTTATCGTGTTGTCTGTGAAGGGTGCCATTTTCCCTCTTTCCGATCTGGATGCCTTTTTTGTGCCTGCTGGCATAGTGACCAGCAGTGTGGACACGGGTCCCTGCCGTGTGCTCAGCTCTCCAGTCTTCGCAGTTGGTGCGATGCTGGCTGGTGTTGCGGCGAATGGCCGTTACTGTCTGGAGACACACCTCCTCCCCCGCTTGCTGGAGGGTCTTTATCGGGGTGGGGGGGCATCTTGTCACGAGCTCTCGGTGGCTTTCCTCTCTCCCCCTGTTGACACGGTATATCACATGAACTGATCTGCTGAGCCTGTCCATTCCTCAAGGGTATGTCTGTGACGTGCCTTTTTGGTGCTTCTGTTTTTGGTCAGGGTGCTGTCGGTTTCCTAGAGGGTGTTGGGAAGGGTCCCTATTTGTTGGCTATTTTGGACTGGCTTACAGAGAGGGAGCAAGTCTTCTCGAAAGACTTGACAGAATCCACTCAGTGGCCCGCCTGGCCCTAAGCGTCTGTCCTTAGGGAGGACAGAATAATTGCGTAATTGCGCTAATTACAGCGTAATTGCGCTTTGAATTCCCTGGCTCGCAGCCTGTCTGAGGAGGTTTTCTACTTTCGCCCGCCCGATTCCGCCCGATTCCGAGGGTTTAGCCATTTGCCCCAGGGCCTCGGCTCAGAGGCCTCTGATGGCTGAAGCGCTACTGTGGCTTCTGCCCTCTGGCCTCCGGTCAGGCTGGCCGCGTCTCTTTCCTCCCTAGCGAGTCCAGCCGGAGGTTCGTCAGCCCGGCTGCTGCTTTGAGAAAGCGAACCTCTGCCTCCGTCCGCCCTCTGCCTTGGGAACAATGCCGTGGGCACTTCACCCGGGCAGGGACAGGGCGAGACAGGAGGGCGCAGGGCACAGCCCGCTGGGAATGACCCGGAAGCTGCTGTGGCCATAAATACGTTTTATTTCATTAGAAATGCGCACTGACAGGGCCAAAGACCCCCGGGAAGTGGCGAGCGGTGCTTCCACCAGACTGTCAGCAGCCTGCGAGTACCTGTTCTCGCACCCTGAAAGCTCACAGCAAAAGGCTTCGACACTCGACTTTTTTTTCACTTTTCTTTTTTGTTATAAACACCATAGCAAATTAAAAAAAGCTGTGGAACAGAAAAATATCCGAGTTCTTGATTCTGCGCGTGTGCCGCACTGCCGCCGGCCTCAGCCCCACAGATGGCTCCGGAGCTGGCCGGGCGCGGCTGCCACCTCCTCATCGGCCGCCTGCGCCGCGTGGGCCCCACGGACAGACCCTCGGGCGCACGGGACGGCTCTGCCGGGGCCGCGGAGCGGTGTGGCGTGCCCAGCGGGCACCGGCGCGTCCTCACTGGATCTGGATGGCCCCGTGCTCCAGCTGCATCTCCGGGGGGAGGCCGGGCTGCAGGGCCTCGGCCGCCTGGGAGGGGAGAGGAAGCCCCGTCAGGGCCGGTGCGGGGGCTGCGAGCCCCGCGCCCGCCTCACTGGCCGCGAGGTCCAGGGAGGGCTCGAGGGCCCAGGGCCGCCTCGGCACACGGAGCCCCTGGCGACCCCCGGACAGGGACACCGCCTCCAGCCTGTCGGTGGGAAGCAGGCTCTGGGGGGGGGGCTTCCCGGCAGGCAGTGCCGGCTGGCGCGGGGCTCGGTGGCCAGAGGCTGGGTTCCCTCGTGTGGGCGGGGCGCCTGGTGGGCGGAGCCTCAGGTGGGCGGGGCTCCCGCCGGCTTCCGGGCTTCGGGGCTTCCGGCCGTAAGAGGTCGCGAGTCGGGCTGAGGCGCGGCTGAGGCGCGGGGTGGGCGAGGCGTCCGCGTCTGGGGGTTCCTGCTGGGCCCTTGGAGCGCGGGGGCAGTGGGGCGCGGCGGGTGCTGGCTCGGAGAGCCCTGGCGGTGAGTGGCGCCGTCCTCCCCGGTCCCGGGGACGGGAGCAAGACCCCCGGGCAGGGCCGTGTGCTGAGGGACGGGGCAGTGCCACGGGGCTCCGGCCTGCAGCCTGCGGGTCAGCCCCCATGACCGGCGGCGAGTTCGGGGGAGCCCTTGAGCGCTCGTGGCCAGGACCGAGGACGCCTTCGTGGGGCCGGGGAGGAGCAGCGACCGAGTGTGGAGCGCCGCCGGGCACGTGAGGCGGGGCTGAGGGGCACGTGGGGCGGGGCTGAGGGGCACGTGGGGCGGGGCCGGGCACGCGGGGCGGGGCGGAGGGCGCGTGGGGCGGGGCCAGGAGGGGCGGGACCCCCTCGCCTGCTGCTGTCTCTCTGCGCACTCAGAAGAAAAACGGGTCTTGGGGGGCCGAGCAACGTACGCTGGGAGCGATTTGCGTTGCAGGCGGCCGACCCGTACGGCCCCTGGGGGCTGGGGGGCTCAGGATATACCACAAGAAGGTAGCTGCAGGCGGTGCTTGCCAAGTCCACCCCCACAGGCGAGAACGGGGTCGCACACCCGCCTCACGCTCGCCTCCCCACACGTGTCCTGGACTTGGCCCAGAGGAGCAGGAGGGGCCGGGGCGCTGAGAGAAGTCTCCTGCCCCGCTCAGGAAGAGACACAGAGGGGATGTGGACAGGTATCAGTCCTCGTCTGCTGTCCCGCCCACGGGGGATAGAATGGCCCCATCCACCTGCTGTCCCACCCATGGGGGCTCCCGGGAAAGTGGCCCCAGCAAACAGGAGTTGGTGCGGCAGAACCAAACCTCGATGACACAAGAGCACTGTCAGGCCCCAGCCCCCAGGGAGTTGAGCCCAGCAAGAGGAACCGCGAGCTTCCCCTAAGGAGGGGGTGGCTCTGCGGGGGGACCCACCTGGGCTGCAGCCGTGTGGTCAGTCACTGGCGCCAGCTGTACATACTGGACCTGGATGTCGCTACCTTGGAGAGGGGACCCGTCCACCCCAGTGGCGGTGGGATCAGAAGAGGCCACAGCGATCAGCTGGGCACCCTGCAGCACCTGGGGGAAAGCAGACCCAGTCAGCAGGGGGTCACACTCGGGGCACCCCCCAGTCAGAACGGGGGACTCGCACCTGGTACACCCCAACCAACTAGCACGGGAGTCACTCTCGGGGCACCCACCCAGTCAGCCTGGGGCCCTGGGCCACCAGCTGTGTCTCTCTGGGCTCACTCAGACCCCATATATGTACCCACACACACACACACACCCCCCAAACTGGCTCAAATGCTCGGCAAGCCTGGAGGTGAGAAGCACTAAGGCCCCAGGAGGAGACACCCTGGGTCCACTTGAGACAGGTGAGTCCCCACACCCCTGACACCTAGACGGCAGCAGTCATCCCGAGACCACCCTTCCCCACATGCAGACATGCCGCTGGGGCTTTGTCGCCGGGCCCCTGAGTTCCTGGGCCAGCAGCCTGGCAAAGCACCCTGGCTGTGGGGATCTAACCCTCAGAACCAGTTCCCCGGAGCTCCTCAATGTCCGTGGGCGCTACAGTCCAGAAATGATCAGCAAAATAGGCTCACACGATGCACCCCAGCCTGCAGACAGCCCGTGGGGCCAGGGCGAGGCTCTCCGGCCCGGGAGGTCAGGCCATTGGTCTGGATTCTCAGGGTGGGAGACGGGAGCAGGTAAGATCAGGAGGGAAACATGAAGCTTTTCTCCAAGCATCCGTGCCGAACGGTCAGCTGGGAGGTGCCTCGGGTGGCGCCTGCAGGGAGCGCACCACACCACACGGCGCCCAGGGCACGCGCATCGCAGCCCACCAGTGGGTTTCATTACAACACAAGCCACCGGCAGCCCCGCTCACAGGACCCGTTGGTTGTACCCTCAAAGGCCACACCGGCACATCAGAGCGCTGTGCCAGCTGCCATCTCCCCATCGCCCTAAGCCCGCCGGCCCGGCCAGGCCATCACCTCAGTCTCCCTGCTGTCCCACTCACTCAGAGCCGAGAATGGCCGAGGAGCAGGGCAGCAATGATCACCAGACGCCACCCATCAGGGCTCCCGCGTGCTCAGGCTGGACATCTCTGAAGGCCTGGCAAGATTCAGACGTCTGACGGTGACTGTGCAGAGCCAGAGCCGGGCGCTCCCACAGTCTCCCGGGACCCAGCAGCTCTGCTCCTCCTCCAGGCCCTCCTGGGACACTTCTTCCTTTTCAGACCTCAAGTTAACTGACCTACCACCATGATGCCAGTGAATGGGGCAAGAGGTACGACACTAGTGTGTGGGGAGAGGCAGGGAAGAAAGGCCAGAGCCCACTCTGAGAATCCCATCACTCAGTCCACGTCGGTGCTGGAGATGCTGAGTCAGCAGGGGGTGGGGCAAGTGTGCGTGATGGCAGTTCTGAAGAACAGCACTGGTGTTGGTCCAGGTAATAGTGACAAGACCATGAGGGCATGAAGGTGAGGGTGGCATTCTGAGAATGAGCTGGTGTGGGAGGCAGGAGTCCAGGATCTACCCTGCCTTACCTCCCGACACCATCCTCCAAGGGCGCGCTCCTGTCCCCTGCTGTGAAGTCCCTAGGTCTGTCACTCTCCTCATCAATACTACACTGGGGCTGGGTCTAACTGTACACAGGTGTGGCGCCATCCTGGGCCTGCGGCTGCCTCTGGACCTGTGATACTCCGCAGGGCCCATCAGTGGAAGACCCACTGCTGAGGCTCAGACGTTGAACAGGGTCCCAGAGATCCTCCTAGGCGATGCTCTGTTGTCAAGTGGCTGGGTCCCTGTCCACCAGACCCATGAGTCCCTGCCTGCCAAGGCTGAGAAGTTGGTGTGAAGAACAGACCACAAGGCCCGTGGTTGCTGGCAGATCCAGTGTTGCTGGCAGCAACGTCCTATCTCCTGCAGAGTCCCGTGGTCCGGCTTCCCTGAGGGTTAGGTGGGAGGCAGGTGCAAACCCAGCTGAGGCCTCAGTACTGAGCCTGGCAGAGGACCAAGCAGGTCTGTGGTGGCGACAGCAACGCACCATCTGGGGAACGGCTGCTGCAGACCCATTATGCCTGGTGCCGACACCAGGCAGAATTGTCATCCTGTGTTACAGGGTTTAGACGGGCCAGAGAAGCAGTAAAGAGCTGCTCATGACCCTCGCCTTACGCCTGCCATCACTTAACTAAGATCATGGCAGGGCAGGGGCAACCCAGTGACACCCCCCCCACCCCCAACACTGTGGGCATAGGCCCCGGTGAGCCTGGTCACCCCAACCCCCATCAAAAATAGAGACAATGGGTTGGGGAGGGCGTGGGCCTTGCACATAGCTGACCTGGGGTCCAGCCCCAGAACCCCATGAGGTCCTCCGAGCCCCACCAGGAGCAAGAGGGTAGAGCCAGGAGTAAGCCCTGAGCACTGCCAGGGGTGGGTGGCCCAAAACCATCCTACCGAGACTGAAATATCCCCATGATGTTACAAGGCCACACTAGTGTCCCAAGTTGGCCGGGCCAGACTCCACTCCACTCCTGGGTCAGGGAGAGCAGCAAGACCCGTGGGCTTCTTGGAGGAGACTTGGTGAGAAGTGGGAGCAGAGCGATGATCTGGGATCAGGCCTCGTGTCCTCTCAGACCCCACGTGGGTGTCGTCCCTTGAGTCGCCCAAGTGGTCCTGCAGCAGGCGCCTATCTGACGCAGAGCTCTCCTTCACTCGAGAAACCCTGCCTGAGTTGCTGCCCTCAGTCCACAGGTTCTGCTGGGCCTTCCACATGTGAGCTTCCGCTTTCTCTCAGCAGGCCAACATGGTGGCACCTTTGTCAAGGCGCAGTCACTACTGTGTGCACGTGTGCACCCGAGTGCTCAGCCTTCTAAACAGCATCTTAGACACCGTGTACTCAGTGAGGGACGGGGTGGGGGTGGGCGCTGCCTGGTCAGGGCTGCAGGGCGGCGAGTGGACGTTGCCGCCCCCTCATTAACACGGCACACAGCACCACATGTACGCGACCAGACCTGAGGCTCTGTCCACTCGTGACCCTTTTGCGCCTGAGAAATGCGATGTGGGCGGGCAGGCTGGCTGGGAAGGCCTCAGACTGTTAGCCAGCACTCCTTGCATCCTCAAGCCCTGTTGGCTGCCACCAGATCTTCTGTGCCCCTGGGTGAAGCCGAAGAGTCCTGAGGTCAGATAGAATTCATGGGACTCACCCACAGGTGCTCCCTCGGCCTGAGAGGAGCGGAAAGAACGTCTCTAACTAGGATGGTGCAGCTCCTCCCTCCAGTATCTCCTGATCATTGACTAAGACACAAGAGGGAAAGCGTTTGCTTTGAAAAATGATTTTATTTGGGGGGACCTCCCAGCCTGCGGCTGAATGTGAGGGCCCAGGTTAGGGCCGGGCCCTGCAGTGCTGGGGTTCCCCAGGGCCTCCTGTGGCTGCACTGGGGCCTACGTGGTACCAGGGATGCAAACAGTTCGGCCCCATGCTGGAAAAACCAAGGTCTCCCCCTGCTCTCTCCGTGGCTGCGTCACTCCTGTTCCCTCGGCTGGGCTGCCCTCAGTTCCATGCAGCAGCCATGGGCCTCCCCCAGGCCCTGGTGGACACACCAGAGCTGAAGCCCAGTCAGTGCAGAGCTGGTCCCCACGGAACCGTCTGGCTGACGTGAACAAGGCCAGGCTGCCTGACTTCACCGCACCCCAGCTATCCATCACCCTTGCCCTGCAGACTCCAAACTCACTCTCGGCATCTGAGGTTGCTTCGTTTGTCAGAATCTTCTGGAATCCACACAAGCTGAATACACAGCAGGATGCAGCTGGGACAGCTCACTGCCTTGTCCGTAAGACCAGGTGCTACACAAAAGGAAGCGGCAGCCAGGCCGCGCCACAGGCGGCCACACCGGCGCACACGTGGCCTCGACATCAGCCCTGCCAGAGGTGGCTGCAAGCCACACCCGCACACATGTGGCATCAACATCAGTCCTGCTGGAGGCGGCCACAGGCCACACCCACGCACACGTGGCCTCGACGTCAGCCCTGCTGCAGGAGGCCACACACTACACCCGTGCACACATGGCCTTGATATCAGCCCTACCGGAGGTTGCTGTAGCCACACCCAAGTACACGTGGCCTGGACATCAGCCCTGCTGCAGGCGGCCACATGCTACACCTGTGCACACATGGCCTCGATGTCAGTTGTGTTGGAGGCAAACGCAGGCTACACCCGCGTACACGTGGCCTCGACATCAGCCCTGCTGGAGACAGCCACACGCCACACTCGTGGCTTCAATGTAAGGTGATAGGTGGGACTGGCCAGAGCTGCTCTCCCAGCACAGAGAACTCCTGTCCCTACACCGCCCTTTTCTGGCCGCTCAGACTGTTGTGGTCCCCAGACACACTGTCGCCCCTACTCCACAGCCCTGCACTCAGATGGGGGACCACAGAAGTGCACACTTTCACAGGCCACTGGGTCAGATGCTTGAGAGGGTGATGCAGGAAGAAGGCCCGCGAGATTCCGCCCTGACTCCCTGCCGTCATCTCATCCCTAGGGGACCCACATGAGGACCAGAGCTATGGGTGAGCATGAGGAAGAAGGGGGATCCGTGTGCAATGAGGGGACAGACGTTCGCACGAGGACCATGCACATGGGCTCTCGGGGTCCTTCTCACATGGCTCTTGCCATGCCTGCCCACCAGGACTGATGTGACAGTCGGAATGCCCAAGTACAGAACTGCAGGATTGGGGGCAGTGAGGGGAGCCGGGCCACTGGTAGGAGCAGACGAGCTGCCAGGGCTGGCTCTGCCCCGTTCTCAGGGAGAGCTCTGGCGGTGGCTGTGCGTGCCTGCCTGACGCTGGCCTTTCAGGGGCAGGCTCTGGTGACAGAACCCGTCCCTCTAAGTCCAGGGACACAGTCCCCTTGTCTGTGGGGATAACACCAGGGTGCCCCCAGGAATTGGGGGGATGCACTCAGGGTATTCCGAGGAGAGCGAGCACTTGGTTTGAGAGTAACAAGGACTGACTTAGCTGTAGATTCACAATCATAACGGGTTTCATGAAAGAAGGTGGGGGGTTCTCCACACTCTCCCCATTACCCAGGTTACAAGAGACAACAAAACAGTCTCCCAATTCGCCAGCAATTTCCCTCCCTCTTGAAAAGTGCACCCCAAGAGGAGCCAGGACGGGGGCGGAGCAGCTGTCCGTGACTGTCACTCTCTGGGTGACAGTTCTGCAGGAACAGCCTTCCCTGCAGGCCAGGTGCAAGCAACATCCACGAAAACACACAGTGAAGACAGACAGGCACGGCGTGCGACCCCATGAGGCAGAGCCCTGGGCAGAGTCAACACTCCCCCTGGCTGCCCTCTCCCTCGCAGGACAGCACCAGGTCTGCCAGTCCAACAGAGGGCCACAGCACACTGGCAAGAAGCGAGGACAGGTGAGCGCTTACCTGCCCGTCCTGTCCGACGTGGTGGATCTGCAGGTTACCCTGCAAAAACAACAAAGGGCGGGGAAGGGGTGTGAGACGAGGTGCCCCCGGAGCTGCCGGCCCAGCCTGAGACCCCCCCCACAATAGCAAGAGCGCAGAAACAGGCGGTCCCAGGCTGCCCGCTCACCTCGCTGTCCTGCGTGATCTGGACCTGCTCCCCTTGCGGCACCTGGGCGATGTGGAGATGGCCCTGGGGGATCCACGGGAGGAGAAGACACAAAGAAGCATCAGCGGACACTCAGAACCAGAGGAAACGAGAAGCACTCTCAAGTGAGCGCCCTCAAAGCAGCTCCAGCCACACGGCCAGGGAGTTGGGCCCCATGCACGCATAAGTGAGGGCAGGCAGGCAGGCAAGCATGCACGAGTGGGTGCGGGCAGGCGGGCGAGCACGCACAGGTGGGCGTGAGGAGGTGAGCGTGCATGGCTGGGTGCAGGCAGACAAACGTGCACGGGTGGGTGTGGGTAGGTGGGTGAGCATGCACGGCTGGGCGTGGGTAGGCGTGCGAGTGCGCACAGGTGGGTGCAGGTAGGCGAGTGAGCTTGCACGGGTGGGTATGAGTAGGTGAGTGCGTGGCGGATGTGGGCAGGCGGGCAGGCATGCACGGGTGGGTGTGGGCAGGTGGGAAAGTGTGCCTGGGTGGGAGCAGGCAGGCGGGCAAGCGTGGGTGCATGTGTGAATGCCTGCGTAAGTATGTGCATGCATGCATGTGTGAATATGCCACCTGTGTGTGCGTGAGCATGTGCGAGCATGCATGGGTGAGTACAAATGAGTGCGTGGAAGCTTGAGTGTGCATACATGAATTAGAGTGTGAACAAGTGTGAGCATGCATGGACAAGTAAAAGTGAATATGAACGTGCATGTGCAAATGTATGTATCATGTGTAGCATGTGTGAGTGCATGTGTGGAGCAAGTGTGCCTGAGTGCACGCATGTGCAAATCTGCTTGTCGGAGTGCATGCAGATGCGAGAGACTGCATATGTGTATGCATGAGCATCCGTGTGTGTGGAGCGTACATGTGAGCATGACTACATGCATACGGAACAAGTATCTGTGAGAATGAGTGAGCATGTGAGCACGCGAGAATGCACATGCATCCATGTGGAGCAAATGTGAGTGTGCATATGGCATGAGTGTGAGCATGTGTGTGGAGTGTGTGTATGAGCGTGTGGAGTGTGAACATGCATATGGAGTATGTGTGTAAACGCGTGTGGAACAAGTCTGAGCATGTGATGGAGAGTGAGCATGTATGCTATGTGTCAGCATTCATGTATGTGTGGGCATGTAGTGAGAGTTCGTGTGGAGTGTGTGAGTGTGTATATGTGAACATGTGGAGCAAGCGTGAGCACGTATGTGGAGTATGAATGTGAGCATGTGTGTGGAGCAGTGTGAGCGTGCGTGCCTGCACAGTCCTGGCACGGGCTGTAGGGCAGCCCTGAGGGGCGCTCTGAGGCCCCGGAAATGTGACACAGCAGGAAAGAAGACAAGTGTCCCAGAAGTCTAGATCACGTTGCTTTTCTACATCGACGTTTTTGGTCTAGGGGCCAAACCCATCGGTGCTCAGGACTCACTCCTGGCAGTGCTCAGGGGGACCCTATGGGGTTCTAGGGATCGAACCGGGGTCCGCCATATGCAAGGCAAGTGCCCTCCCCGCTGGGCCATCACTGCAGCCCCGTACTGTTTCCTTCATCCTACTGTTAACGTGGAGGACTGCCAGTCATGGACTCCACGGAGTTTGGGGGGCCACTGCGAGGCCCCCGGTAGAGCATGTGAGCAGTGACCCCATGTGTTCACTGGAGTCATGTCAGGAGATTGTTTTAGACAAAGAAACTAGCTGGAGTAAGCACGAACAGACAGGCAGGGCGGCCGTAAGCCCCGAGAGCACAGTGACAGGGACACCATGACCCTAGTCAAACTGTCCCCACCCAAGGGTCTGAAGGTAGACCCCAGTAGACAGCCCTGGTTTTTGAACTCTGGGCAGCCTCCGCCCCACTGAAATGTCCCGGTCCCACTCTCTGGGCTGAGGCAGTGGGCGGGGCGGGGCGCTGCCCTCCGTGTTCGAGGGGCTCAGGCCTTCGTGTGACCATCCCAGGCAAACAGCCCCAGAGAGGACAGAGGCAAACTGGCTGCGAGGGGACACCCTGGCTCTGGACTCGCCCCTCCCGCCAGTCCCTCTGCGCTGCCCAGGAACGTACTACTTGGACCTGGCCGTCCTCGCCGATCTGGTGGATCTGGACCTGCTGGGCGTTGGCCAGGGCGTAGTGTAGGGCCTGCGGCGGCGGCTGCAGCTCACTGGCGGGCGGCGGCGTGCTCAGGACGGGCTCTGCGGGGGAACAACGGGGTCAGTGCGGAGCGAGCAATGGACCCGCCCCCTACAGCTGCCGCTCACGGGGACCCGGCACGCAGACCTGCGGCACTGTAGGAGGACGAGGGTGGGGTCCGCCGCGAGAAGCTCTTGACAGCCAGGCTCTGGCCCCGCTGCTTCCGCCGCCAGGCCGTGCGGCACTTGGAGTCGATGCTCTGCTTGATCCGGTACCAGTCGGACTCGGTGATGCCGAATTTATAGAAGAGGTGACCTGAAGGGGTGGCCCAGCAGGCCGTCAGTCCCGGGCAGGACCAGGCCACTGGCCGCGGAGTCGGCCGCTGTGTCCTGGCCCTGGGAAGTGTGAGCTGACCACACGGCCCAAGAACCTGGGTAGGGCACGGAGGAGGGGGCCTCCACTCCTAAGAAGTGGCTCACGCCTTAGCACAGTACCAAGAGGCAGAGTACCCAGTGACCGCCCCCCTACCCCCGGGTTCTCCAGGGCTCAGACAGGCGCGGACACCCCTCGTCACTAGACGGGAGCACGCAGGGTCCATGCCTGTCCTGGGAGGCCAGGCCCAGCTCCGGGAAGCCCAATGCTGGCACGAAGCCAAACCCGTCTCCTGCCACGGCAGAGAGCCCACCCAACCCGGCCTCTCCATGACCCAGCTGAGCACCCGCTCTTCTGGAACCCATCAGAGGGGACAGGGGAGGGGGCAGTGCCAGGTAGGGCAGGCCCCTCAGCAGTGTGCTGCTGCTCTGGCCACTGGGGAAATCTGGGGCGGGTCGTAGGCTGGCGTGGCCTGACAGGCATGAAGCAGCCCCCCAAAGTTCAGGGATTTACTTTCGTGACCCCAGAACCCAAATCTGAGTTGTGAGGCCATGGTCAGGGGCTGTGACATAGCGGACCCCTCCCGACCCCACCCCTGCACACGGGGGAAGGGGCAGCACATCAGGAGTGGGAAGATGACACAGGGCCATGCGGCCTGTGACAGAAGTTACTCAAGACATGCTCACATGCTGACTCGAGGGGAAGACCCTCATATTTAAAGTCGGGCTAGAGCAATAGGACAGCGGGCAGGGCACCTGCCTTGAATACAGCCAACACGGGTTCAATCCCCGGCCCGGCATGGAGGCCTCTGCGGCAGCCAGGAGCAAGCCCTGAGCACCGCCAGGTATAAACATAAAGCTCCAAGGACCCCAGCAGCCAGTCCCAAGTGAGCGAGCATCTGTGCCGGGAAGGACACCCGGAGGCGGCAGGTGCTGTGAGACTAGCACCCGCAGCTCAGAGAAGACCTGGAAGAGGCGACAGGGCATAGCCCATTCTACTGCCCTTCTCTGGGCTCAACCCAGGGGCCGGGAATCCAGTAGGAAGAGACACTCTGGCCAGCAGCTGCCATCTGCTGAAACGCTTTATCCTGGTGACTTCTTGTCCGGGAGACAGGTCATGAGATAAGAATGCCATTACCATCAGAAAGCCCCTCGGCAGGGTTGGGGTGACAAGTGGCCTGGAAACTGGGGCTCCGGACCCATCCAGGCAGAGACACAAACCCCCACCTGCTCCCATTCCCACTGCGCCTGACTAGGGAGCAAGGGGGAAGACTCAGCCCTGCACACGCCTCTGTGCTCAGCCACCTCAGCCAAGCCCCCGCTGTCCTGTGGAGGCACCTACCCGACCCCAGGCCCCTCGGCCCTTGGCACCTTAGGATAGTGGTCCCGGGAGCGGTCCCTTCGGCCACTGGCCCCGAAGGGCGGCAGCACTGTGGGAATGGCACGGACAAGCAACAGCACTGACCTGGAGGGCGCACCAGCCACGAAGGGACGTGCCCTGTGCTGACGGGGCGCCATCCCGGGGAGGGCTGCCAACAACTGTCCGGCTGATAGATACAGGTCTGGAAAAACATCTTCAGCCATGGGGGCGGCCACTGCAGGTGAGAGGCTCAGACACAAGCCGCTGTCCCCTCATCTCGTCTCTGGGACACTGGGGCCACATGGCTTACCTGCCCCAGGAGCACCCTGTCAGGGATCCCAGCCACATGTGTGCGCGAGTGTCCCTGAGCTTCCTGTCTGTCCAGGATGGCACTTACGGGGTGACCATCATGGCTCAACGTGCTCCTCGCTTAGGACCCACATGCGGTGCCACCAGGACCCACGGCCAGTGGGGTCTTCCCAGGAGGGCGCCACACTGGCAAGGGGACGGTCAGGGCCCAGTGGGTAGCAGTGGGGGGCCCGCAGGACAAGGTCAGGGCCCAGCTCCGGTTCCCGGGCAAGCTGCGGCCTCGCCAGCACCATCACCGCCATCCCTCGACATGCCCGAAACCTCTAAGGCACAGCCCCACCCCTCAGGGATCCCCCCAGGCAGCGGCAGCCCCTGACCCTCCGGGCACTCACAGCGGATGCCATAGATGGTGAGGGGGTCCAGCTGCTTCTTGCCGTGTTTGCCCTGGCCGGACAGGTTGGACACGGCCTGCACCTCGCGGTGGAACAGGTAGTCAAGCAGTGTTAGCGCCATCTTCTCGGCCGTGCGGCAGTTGGTGCTGATGTGCAGCATGTCGGAGGGGACGATGGCACAGCGCACCCGCATCTCGGGGTTGTTCTCGTCGCCCAGCCACGTGCCGTTGGGGTAATCCTCTGCAAGGACAGGACGGAGGGAACGGGCAGCGTGATGGTCACTACCATACCACGTGCATGGGCGGCTCTGCTCTGGGCGCAGACACCTACAGAAGGGTGGGCTCCGGCTGCCTGGGGCCATGGGCACAGGACCAGCACGCTCAGCTGCCCTCTGGGCGGAGACCCCGCGCCTATGTTCCGAGAGTCCACCGCTTCCCCCAGGACACCTCAGTGTGGACACTAGCCCCACTCTGCCCCCAGCTCACATGGACACTTGCCATGTTGCTTCCCTGGGCTATACCTGTACCATGCACCCTCACCTCCAACCTCCTCAAGCACCAGAAGCAACTGACAAGAAACCACCTGATCTGTCCTCTCCTGGATAAGCCCCTCGTCACAGGGTCCACGGGGCCTGTAGCATGGCCTGCGCCTGGGCTCCCAGGGCTCAGAGGGGACATGCACCCCAGACCCAATGTCCCAAAGAGCTCAGAGGCTGGGGCATACAGACCCCACATCCCACCTCCAGCTCCTGGGGTCCCACAGAGCCAGCAGGGTGCCACACCCCCTGCGGGAGAAACCACTTCCCGCTGGGAAGGCCGTCGGGACCCCACAACTCACAAAGCACCAGGCAGCCTGGACTCCAGGCAGACTGTCGGGCCAGTCAGCACGATGGCTGTGGGTGTGGCAACAGAGTCCCTGGGATGGCTGGCCAGGGTGATGTCATGTCCTGGCCTCAGCTCTACTCACCTGCGGGAACAGACCCTGCCAGCTGCCCCTCCAGCGGGCTGGCCCCAACCTCAGGGCGAGGACTGGTCCTGATTCAGGGCTAACAGGCTGAGTCAGTGGCTCTGTGTCTCGGCCGTGGTCTGTGAAGTCACTCTGCGGCCACAAGTGCAGCCTGACTAGAAAGTACAAAAGGACCCCATGACCCCAGACAGGGCGGGGAGGGGGAGCTGAGGGAAGCCATTTGTGTATATTTGTATGAATGTGTGTGTGCATGCATACGGGTGCATTTGTGTGCACAGGTGTGAGTGTGCATTTATGTGTGTATGCATGTGAGAGTGCATGTGTTTATACATGTGTGTCTGCTTGTGTATGCATGCAAGAGTGTGCGTGCATGTGAAAATGCGTTTGTGTAGGGATGCGTGAATACATGTGAGTGCATGTGTGCACATGTGCGTATGCGTGCAAGTGCACACGTGTGCATGATGCATGCATGAGTATAAGACTGCGCGTACATGTAAGAGTGTGCGAGTGTGAGATGTGTGTGTGCACATGAAAGAGTGTACGTGAGTGCATGCTAGGTTGTGGGCGCACGTGAGAATGAATGTGTGCTTAAGTGTGTGCATGCATGTAAGAGCATGTGCATGTGAGACTGCATTAGTACGTGAGTGCACACGTGCATTAGTGAGTGTGCATGCATGAGTGCATGTGCATAAGTGTGTGTGTGCGCTTGCCTGTGAGAGTACGTATGTGAGTGTCTACACGAGAGAATGTGTGAGTGCCTGTGTGCCTGAGTGCACATGAAAGTGTGTAAGTGCGTGTGTGCGTGCATATAAGAGTGCATGTGCTTTGGCCCAAGACACGCAAAGCGTGTGTTCTGCTACCAAGCTACAACCCTGGCAGGGTAGATTTATTTTACTAAGAGAACTTGGTCCAGTCTTGGCATCTGAAACTATGGAAAATTCTAGTAGCTTTATTTAAAACCTACAAGCTGGATTATAAGAAAAATAAACTTGCTTTCCGCTCCTCTTGTCTAAACCCTGAACGGAACACGCAGCCCCCGCTGGGATGTCAGACGCTGAAGGACCCCGCCCCGCCTGGGCCCTGTCCGGTGGCAGCCCCCGGCGCTGTTCCAGACAGGCCCTGGGCCAGGACGAGCAGCCAGGAAAGGCCTGTGTGTCCGGATCACCAAGGGGCTGCTGGGCGCCTCCCTGAGGCCCAGCTTCCTATAAAACGCAGCAATTCTGGAATTATGTGAAACAGAACCTGAAAATCTACAAAGCCACAGAAATCACATTCCCCAACTACAAATCACGAAGATTCCATTCACTACAGTAGGTCCTCCGTTGCTTTCACTCAAAAGGCTTTTTGTACTAATTTAGTTTTGTTTTGGATGGGAAGTTTAGATCAGCCAATCTGTTAAAAAGATTTTACCATGAATGTGCAAACGTTCTGCCAGGTGGAAAATCATTCAGTCTCCCTGGAGAGGGTCTGCAGTGGGCGTGAGCCGCTTCTGCTGAGATCTTTGTCCCGGCTCTCTCGGGCCCCCCGACTCTGTGTCCCTCCTGCTCTGTCCCCCATCTGTTCCCTGCTCTGTCTCCATCTCACTGTCCCTCTGACTCTGTCCCTCTGACTCTGCCCCGACTATGTCCATCTGACTCTGTCCCAGCTCTCTGTCCTCTGCTGTCTCCATCTGTGTCCCTCCAACTCTGTCCCCCCATCTCTGTCCCCAGTTCTCTGTCCCGGGAACCTCCAAGCCAGCCAATCTTCCCCTCCCCGGTCCGCAAACCCTGTCTCCCTCTCAAAAGGCATCTCCTGCACATCGGGGCCAGGGACCCTGGAAACTTCCGGTGAGGGGGCATGAGGGGCCAACAGTGCTTTAAGTCCCCACACGGTGCCCCGTGCTGAGTGTCAGGAGCTGCTGTTCAGGAAGGGACACAGCCACACTCCATCCTGGGGCGAGGGAGATGCCCAGCTGAGGGCCTAGGGGAGGTCACAGTGGTGATAACCTGTGCTGGGGCCTCACCTCATTCCAGGGTGCCGGCGACAAAAAGTCCCTGCAAGGGGGGGTGTCACATCGCCCAGGGTGACACAAACTGTCCCCTAAAGCAGGGCCTCCAGCCCCCGCCAAGAGCCAGCAGAAGACGACTCGGTCCTAGAGAAGCAGACCTGCCCGCACCAAGGGAACCTCAGATGGACCTGCTTGCCCACACTGGAAGTGGGGGTCCAGAGCTTCAGCCAAGCCCCAGGGGACAGTCACAGGGCATGGGTCCAGCACAGCCTGGGGGATCGTCACAGCCTGAGGGACCATCATAGTTCGGGGGACTGTCACAGCCCAGGAGACCGTCACAGTCCAAGGGACCGTCAGAGCCCGAGGGACCGTCACAGCCTACGGGACTGAAACGTCAAAGCCCGGGGAACCATCACAATCACAGCCCAGGGAACTGTCACAGACCAGGGGGACCGTCACAGGGCCACCAGCAGGCACCTGGCATCTGGAGGTATGCCTGGCTGGGGAAGTAGGCGGGTGAGTCCTGTCACACTTCAAGCTGCTGCTGGGACCAGAGAGAGGAGGCCCCGATCCCAGCGGTCCAACTCTGGAGCAAGCGTCAGAGTGGGGAGTGCGGGGGGAGCCCAGGAGGAGCCCATGGGGGCCGCGCTTGGCCCAGGCACACCCCCAGCTGCTACAGGCCAAGTCCTTGCCCAGACAGGCGATTGGTTCCCGCCGTGCCAGTCTTTGTGCCCTGGTCAGGGCTAGCGAGTGCTCCCCAGGGGAGAGCGGACTCCGGCCTTCTCTGTGCGACACCTGCACTCTTCCAAGGGTGGCACGGCCGCAAGCCAACATGCAGATGCCCACCCCCAGGACGAGGCTCTCCAGCTTGCCGCCTTGGGTCAGGCCTAACAGGGCAGCTGCGGGCCCTTCCAGGGGGCTCCACCGCCAAGATGCTCGAGTCGGGCTGTGACCAGTGTCTACCCAGGCCCTTCATCTCTCACTGGGAGGCAAGAGGGCTCCCGAGAAGGCTTCAGGGTCCCAGGGCAATTCCAAGTGGTACTGGGCCAGGCAAGTGGACACTCAGTGCCCGGCCACACGGGGGCCCCCAGGACCACAGCCAGCAGTGCTAGTGTCCGACCACTGGCCCACGACCCCTGCTGTGACCACCAGAGCAAGCTCATCACCTTCCACGAGCCCTGGCCACCGAGACCAACCCAACAGTGCCCACACCAGTGAGCCTGGCCTCAGGGGCCGACGTCATAGGACGTTCGCCCCAAGAGGGTCCAACAGGGGACAAGCGCCGCCTCCCAGACGGACACAGACAGACCCTCCGTGCGTCCAGGGGGCTGAGTTTCAGGCTCCGTCACTGACGCCCAGCCGCACACTGCACAGTGAGAAGCTGCCATGTGGAGACAACCCTCCCCCCGTTGTCAGCCCTTGGCCCTGACCCAGAGCTCCCCAAAAGGAAATAAGGACGACTCATTTCCTCTGACGTGAAAGGAGCATGAGCTCATCCCACGTGCGCTGGGGTAAGGTGAGGGTGACCCTCAGGACCCCAAACACCAAGTCAAAGCAAGTATCCGGGACCTCACAACTGCTCCAGGGTCCACCCGCATGGACACAGATGGGCAAAACGCAGAGATGGGCCAGCGACAGGACAGCGGGAACCCGGTTCTGTGCATAGCACCAAGAGTCAACCCTGAGCACTGCCGGGGGTGGCCCATTCCTGCCTTGAGGGCCCAGTCCAGATGGACAGAGTAGCTGCCCACCCAGGGGCGCAGCAGCAAGGAGGGGCGCGAGCCCCTGCCACCACACAGGGCCACTGGGGCCAGGCAGTCGAGGCACTGCTGGGAGGCACTTCTCCGGGTTAGTGCTCTCTCGGCATTGGGCACCGGTGCTGAGGCTGCGCCTAGGATCACCTGCTCCGCGACATCTCTGGGCCAGGGCAATCCAGGGTCTCCCTCAGCAAGGCCAAGGGGCTCCTCTGGCCTATGTCCCCGCCTCTGCTCTCGGCTCTCCCTTCCTCCTGAGCTCCTTTCAGTTCTCCTGAGTTCTTCCTTTCTCCGGCCCTCCTCTGCCAGCCCCATGCAGCAACTGACACCCAAGGGTGCCCAAGACACCGAGACTTCCAGGGTCTCCAGCAGCGACAGAGCTGAGGGGGAACCGTGGAGCTAGAATCCATACTGAGTGTTAGGAAAAGGCAACAGCTCCCAGGGCCTCACGAGAATGTGCATTCCAGGCTGCAGAACCACAAGCCCAGGGCAGCAGGGGCCATCAGAGGCAGGGACACGGGCCAGCAACACAGCCAGGGCTGCCCCCTCCCTTGGCGAGAGAGGAAAGGGCACAGCAATGGGGGGCGTCCAGGGATGGGGAGGGACGGGCAGCGGCTCCGTCCCAGCCAGAGCCCATGAGCCCACAGCTGGCAAGGCTGCAGCACGGTGGGGAGGCGAGAGCTGGCAGGCGGGCATGTGGCAGGTGCGAGCAAGGGGCTGTTGGCGGGAACCTACCTTCCGAGTTGAGGGTGATGAGGGTGACGTTGTTCCCGATGCTCTGGCTGCCGGCCTGCCCGCAGTTGGAGACGCAGTCGCTGGCCTCGGAGCCACTCTCCCCGTCCTCATTGTGACTGTCCTCCTGGCCCGGCACCTTCACCACGATGGTGTTCTGCCGCCGCCCGGGCACTGTGCTGCAGGGAAACAGACACACGCGGGGCGTCAGCGCGGCCCCCAGGGCCCCGGCCTCAGATGGGCCCTGCCGAGTCTCGAGCTGCACAGATGGTGAACAGCCTCACACCTAAGACTGTCGTGAACCAGCAGAGAAACGCAGCCTCCGGGCCTGGAGACACACCCCAGAAACAGGTCGAGTGGGGGAGCTGAGCCGGGACCCAACCAGCCCCACTACCAAGCTGCCCACGCAGGGCTCAGCCTTCCCGCTGCGTCGCCCCCCCCCCGCCCCGTCCCCACGGTCAGTGTCATCCTGGGAACATACCTGACAGGTCACATGCCACCTACTTCCCCACACCTTCCAACCTCCCGCCCAAGAGGGAGGTGGCACGGGGGCTCATCTGCACAGACACCTGCCCGCGGCACCACGGCCCTGCCGAGTGCGCCCAGCCCTGCTCTCGTCCCCCTCGAGAGCAGGCGTGCAGACACGTGACAGCAGCCCGCTGCCAGGGAGGGTGCTGGCCACGCCCGAGTCCCAGAGGACAACGGCGTGAGGGACAGCCGCCTGGAGCTGGGGCCTGCTGCCCCGCCCCCAGCCCAGGGAGTGCAGGCACAAGGCCGGCCCTGGGACGGGCACTGTGGCAGGGGTGCTACTGACTTGCTGACGACACTTTCCAGGGACTCCGCAGCCCTGCCGCACAAGGGGTCTTCCATCTTGGCTACAATGGCGTTCTGCCGGTCATTGTTGAGTATGACAGTAGTCTGGGGCACGACGCTATGGAACAAAAGAATCACAGAGAGAGAGACCTTAACAGCGGCACTCCAGAACAGCGGGCCCAGTGCCCGGCAGCACGCAGGGCTGAGACAGGCTGATTCCTGACGCAGCGGACAGCTGGACGGGGGCCACGCGTGTCTCGAGACTCTGAAGCGTGTACGACAGGCAGCCGGTCACTGACAGCCCTTGGAACAGCACTACTCCTGACAATGGGGACAGGCCACCACTCAAGGGAGCCTGAGGCCATGGTTACCCAGGCACTGCCCGGGGGCAGCTACCTCAGAGGAAACCAGCCCAGCAGGACAGACGTGCCTGGCCCACTTCTACCAAGGAGGCTGGCACCTGCGGAGACAGACTCCTGGGCACAGTTATAGGAAAAACTCCGCTTTCCTGCGAGACATGTGGACACTGGACCCGCTAGCCCTGGAGAAGGAGCGGGGAGGCTACCAACAGCACCAGGAACCGCAGGAACTCGGGGATTCTTGGAAGTAAGAGCACTAACTCCCTCACTTTTGTCCCAATTAACCTCCTTATTCTCTGACCCCCCCAGCTCAGCCTCCCAAACCCCCTCGATCCCCAGGTCACTGAGGTGACCTCTGACTTTCCATGGGCCCCTGCAGGTTTCCCTAAGCCATGGATTCTCAGGCTGACTCAGGAGGCAGGGGGGTGAGCTGGCCTTTCCGCTAAGTGCATTCCATGGAACGCAGTGCCGGGCCCCAGACACGCTCCGACCAGTCAGTGCACGAGCCACCTGGTGGCCTGGACACTCTCAGGCCTGTGCAGGGCAATGACAGTGGGAGAGGACGGAGAGCATTATGGCCAATGACCAAGGTCCACTGGAGATGAAAGAGCAGGGAGGGGCCACTTCGTGCGGCATCTCCACCGCCAGACAGCGGGGCAGCTGCTGCCTGTCCTTCCCTGTCCCGATGCTCGTCCACGCACGATGCCCACCCTAGGAGGTGCCGCTGACAGCTGGTGGCTGCCGCTCAGGAGACACGGGTGCAGCACTGCCGAGAGCAGGGCCCCTCTGCTTTCCCAACACCACCCCGAGAGCAGGCATCCAGCACAGCACCACGAACGCAGCGACCAGGGTGACCATGGTGACCATCCACTGTCCCAGGGAGTGACCGGAGCTGGCTGTGCGAGGCACCCCCCTCTGCATCACACACCCGGCCCCACCCCTGCCGCCTGCACGGTTCCAACGGCCTCTGACTCCCTGGGGCTCTCTGGAGACGAGCCGGCCCACGAGGGAAGCTGAAGGGGACCAACAGGACACAGAAGCCCCAGCCCTGTGCCGCCAAAGGCACCACCTCCCCTGCGGCCCCTGACGAGCCCATGCACTGGCGCTGGTCCTGGGCCCTGGCCTGCTCGGACCACCCAGGGCTGTGCCCTTTCCTGGCTGATGCAAAGTGCTCGTCCCACACATCGTGATGGCGGGCACCACCATCTGGTCCTGGCACCACTCACAGGCTCCCTCTCCCACAATTCTGACATACTCAGGGAACGTTCTGGAGGGGCACCAGAGCCCAAGAGTGCCCGAGCACAGGGCAGGGTCCTGCCTGTCTGCGCAGCCGGGCCCCCGCCGCGAGTCTCTATTCCAGGGTCGCGGCGCCTCCACGGATACGCTCACACAGGGGGCGTCTGCCTCAAGGGTCTCTTGGCCATGACACTGCTCATCGGCCCCACCGTGTGAGAAGCAACCTTCCTTCACAGGGCCAGCTCTGGAGTGCGCACAACTGTGCGACAGTGGCCGGGGACCTCTTCCACTCACCAGCGACCTAGACGTTGGCCCATTTCTTGCATAAAAGCGCTCATCCCCTCAGGTCCCTCTTCCACACATACAGCCCCACACAGGGCTCATCTGCTGTCCCTACACACACCATCAAGTCACATCTGCACCTGAAACCAGGGAGTTTAGGTGAACGCAAGGGTGCGGGTTTGTGCTCAAGGCAGTCCATACTCAGAGTTGTGCTCGCAGGTCTGTGCCTGTGGAATCTGTGCTCACGAAGTCTGTGCTCATGGAGTCTGTGCTTACAGAGTCTGTACTCATGGGAGTCTATGCTCACGGTGTCTGTGCTCACAGAATCCATACTCGTAAGAGTTTGTATTCGCGAAGTCTGTGCTCGCGGAGCCTGTACTCACGGGAGCCTGTGCTCGCAGACTCCCCTACACCCGAGTTAAAACAAGGCGAGGACAGGAGAGCGCAGAGCAGGGGCCTGGCCACCCCGCACCCCCAGAGGCTGCAGGCAGCCAGGCGCACTCCCTGCCTCCTGCTGCTCCAAGAATCCGTCTGTGCCGAGCCGGCAAGGAACCTGCACCCAGCGTCAGGGGTGCCAGCAGGGGACAGAGTCACTGTGCTTCACCCTGCTGGCATTTCCCAGGAGGCCACAGGCTCTGGCCGTGGGGCTGGCCACGCCTCAGCAAGTGCCGCTCAGTCCCTGGCATGGCCCCTCTCCAGGTCTGGCCTCCCCTTCCCAGGGCTGGGACAAGGGGTCCACTCAGAGCCTCTGACTCAAAGCCTGTGGGACGCCACAGCTCCACCAAGTCACACAGGTGAGCTCAGCTGGGCAGGGACACGAGCAACTTCACGAGACACGAGGACTGCCCCAGGGGAGGTGCGGCCTCTCCTCTTTGAAGACTCTGTTGGTCCCTTTCATCCAAGGACACGCACTTGCTGGACAGCAGTAGGGGCACAGCTGCAATGACCCCAGGACTAGGAGCCTGCCAGCTCAGAGGGCCTGAGGGTCTGTCTGCAGGCGTGCAGGGAAGAGGCTCCAGGCCAATGCGCAGAGCCCACAAGGGTGCCCAAGAACATGGCCAAGACCACGGTGTCCACCCACCAGACAGTTGAGGAGCCAGTCGGGAGAAGCCCTCGCTGTGGTGCCATGCAGACGGCAGGTGGGGAAGGCAGCGAGCCGAGCACTCAGGGCAACAGACCGTGGCTGAGAACCTGCCCCTCTCTGGGGTCCCTTGAGGAAGGACCCTGGACATCTGCGTCCGGAATGGCAGCTCCAGTGTCCACGGGCCAGTGCCAGTGACCAGCAGGTCGGGGCTCAGCTGGGGGCCAGTGCAGGAGCAGACGCAAGTATCTGGCTCACCGACTGCTAACGTGGACTGGCACTGCGTGACTCAGAGCCCATCTCACTGCACGGGGGGCACCCCCCTCACTCACTGTCTACAAACAGGGCCTTTCTGGTTGAAGCGACCATGTGTTGGGGGGGGCAGGTGCCACACCTTTGGCCAGAGGACCCCACCCTCTTCTTACTCTCCGAGGCAAGGAAACAGCCCGAGCCTCACCACACCCAGGAGATGCCCAGGTCACCGCCAGTTTCCGCCCGTGGCCTGGGTCTCTCCCCAAACAAGTTCTGGAGACACAAACTCCAGAACGTGACCCAATGGGCCGTGTCTCTCCGCAACAAGGGGGAATCCCACCGGAATCGGAGGGGAGTGGGGTGTGGGGCTGGGGACCAGGCAACTGTCTCCGATGCACGAGGCCAAGGCTGACTAACAGACTGCCAGGGCCCTGCCTCCCACGAGCACCCTGGGCTGATGGGGTGCGCCCACCACTTGTGCCCCGCAGGTGATGCCTTGTCCAATCGAGTGCTGGAAACGCCTGACCCTCACCCTGTGCCAACCCCCACCACGCGCCGCGCTCTCCTGCCCTCCCTGGCTCTCTGCGTCGAGCACTCGGCACTCACTGATCTGGGAACACGGCACCGAGGGGCGGGAGAGGCCCCGCGGGCAGCAAGTGTGTGGAGGATAGTGTAGATGGCAAAGGCCAGTCCACCCTGCTGCAACTAGCACTGCCCAGCTCCCAGGACCCCCATCCCTGCCCAGGCTCAAGGGGTCACCCCTAACTGGCACCAACGTGCCACTGCAGCCCACACAAAGCAGAGCAGATGCTCCCCTGCAACGGCATGTGCTCACGTGGGTTCCCACCTCAGCCCCGTGTTTCTGTCCACCTCCAGAGCCAGCGGGCTGGCCGCTCCAAGCCGAGGCCTACGCCGCTCGAGCACTGTTGGAAACAAGCACAGCTGAGCATCCCTGGCCTGGAGCTTCCAGACCAGGCCCTGATCCGTGGAGAACCCAGGCCCAGCATGACAGGCTCAGCAGAGAATAGCAAGCCCTCCTCGAAAGGGTAAAGCTGGAGTGACAGACACACGCCCACAGCACAGCAGAGCAGACAAACAGGGTCAGCCGAGGCCTGGGGCTCAGCTTCAGACAGGCCGAGGTCTCAGAGCCGCCTATGTCAAAGATCCAAGAATGGCCTCCCTGGCCGGCTCAGGGCGAGCCAGACTCTCACCGAGGCGACAGAGCTGCGAGACCTCGCGTGTCTGAGGGGACAGCCCGTGGGGACAGCGGCAGGGACAGCCCGGCCTCACCATCGCACTTTGTTGCAGGTCTGTGTCGCGCCGAGTGGGGAGCCTGCCACCATGGGGACCTGGATGGGGCTGTGCTGCTTATTGGTGACCAAGTCCAGCTTCTCCTCCAGCGACTTGCACGTCGCCTCCAGAGCCTGCAGCTTGGCTTCGATGCTGTCCAGTCGCAGGCATATTGTCTGGTTAATGGAATACAGGAAGGACTGGAAGGGAGAAGGCGAGCGTCAGGAAGGGCGGTGAGCGCGGGGCTCTGCAGTCCACCTCCCTCCACATCCCTGAAGGCCACAGCCAGCCGTGCGGCCTCAGGTGCTACCGCGTGACTCGGCACCCTCACCCCCAGCCCAGGAAACCACGTTCCCCCCCCCAAACAGACCGGGCCCCCGGCACTGCAGCCTGAGCAGGTGGCTCTGTGCAGACGGGAACAGCAAGCCTGCCCCCTGGTGGTCACTGCAGTCACGCCGGAAAGCAATGCCAAGTTCCACGGCACCAAGTCCACCCACTTCAAGGGATGGGACAGCCAGGAAGGCACTTCACTGGCCACCACTGCCGTCCCCCTCGGCCCCAGAGCCTGATGGAGTTCGGGAGCACTGGGGAGGGCATGAGCACCACAGATGTCACCAGCCGAAACATTGCATAGGGGGATGCTCTGTGCTAGGCAGCTGAGGGCACCTGGGAAGGGACCTGGGGCTCCTCTGGCTCTGCCCTGTGCGCCACAGTGAAGGCAGCGAGGGCCTGCAGTGCATGAGAAGACCAGCCCCCAAACCCAGAGCCACATCACTGCAGGGGACAAAGCTCAGGCGCCACGTGCCAGAAGCCATCTGTGTCTGGTTGCAGGGCTGTCTTCTCGTGCTGCTGAGAGCGCAGCCCGAACACAGTGGCCACCTCTCTGTCAGACAGGAGACTGAAGCTTCAGTTCTAAATCTTCCCTTGCTTGGAGTTTGCACTGCGTCTCCGGCAGCGCGGCAGTGAATGCCATGGGAAGTCATGCAAGGGTCCTTGCCTCTCTGGCAGCCTGCATCCCGTGTGATGGCCCACATCTCACTCTGCACGACCCAATAAACAGGACCAGACACCAACAGTGGCCGGCCGACCCGGCCCTGGGGTCCCCGAGACCCTTCGACTTGCCAAGTACTTCAGCACCTGTGACAAGCATCAGCTGCACGGGCCACCACGCTCCCCAAGTCCCCAGCTCAATCCACACCGACTCCCCCCTCTGCATGCTGCTGGCTGCCCACACCTCACGGTCGCAGGCTGGGCTACCGGGGGCAGTGTCACATGCGTGCTAGGACCGAGTCCCTCAGCAGCTGCGCTAGGAGACACGCCAGGTGGCGCAGGGAGCACAGCCCACTCAGACGCCTGTCCCTGCCATACAGAGGAAGAGCCCGCTGCTGCGCAGACCCAGGGCAGCCACCACGCAGCCATCCGCTCACCTTTATTGACGGGTCCTGGCAACTGATCTCCAGTCGCTGGCGTTTCAGAGACGGCTCATCTTCATCGTGGACAACGTGATTCTCCAGAACAACTGAAACCACAGCAAAAAGGCAGCTGAGCCCTAGGCGTGGGACCTGAACACCAACTCGAGAGGACATGGTGAGTGCAGGGTCTGTGTGTGTGTGTGTGTGTGTGGACACAGGAGGACATGGGGAGCGCAGGGAGAGTTTGTGTGGACACAGGCAGATACAGGAGCGCAGGGTGTGTGTGCATGTGTGGACACAGGCAGATACAGAGAATGAAGAGTGTGTGTGTGTGTGTGGACACTGGAGGACACGGGGAGCAGAGAGAGAGAGAGAGAGAGAGAAAGAGAGAGTGTGTGTGTGTGTGTGTGTGTGTGGACACTGGAGGACATGGGGAGAGCAGGGTGTGAGTGTGTGTGTGTGTGTGTGCGCGCGCATGTTTGGACACAGGAGGACATGGGGAGTCACACACATGTGCACGGAGCATCAGCGGCACAAGCTCCCTCTACCGTGGCTGGCTCTGTACCTGGGTGGTCAGGACTCAGGTCTTCCACGGCGATCTGCACCACATCCGCCAAGTCCTGTTCCGACATCATCCAGCCCAGATGTGTGGCCACAGCCACACAGCAGAGAACAGACTCAGGGATACGGAGGCTTTTCCTCCTACAAATCAAACACGAGAGAGAAGGGTGTTGGCCACGGCCACTGGTGAGAGAATCGCAGCCACGCAGCTGCCAGCGCAGACAACAGTGTCAAGTGCCAGGTTCTTCAGGCGCCAGATGCAACAGTCCAAGAGAAGCTCCGTCTGGCTGCAGACCCCGCTCCGGCCCAGTCCCCGACGCACAAGCCCTCCCCTTACACCTCCAACTCTTCTTCCTGCACCCGGGCCTCGGCAGGCCCCAGCCCATTCTGCTGGTTTTCCACCTCAGACCCTTCCCAGATCCAGCCCAGTCCCACCGAGGGTGAAGGCAGCTCCCATGGGGGGCAGCCCTAAGAGCCCTGCAAGGCCAACTCAGCACAAAGAGCACTTGAAATGAAGTTCTGAGGAGCCGGGATTCGGCACACCTGAGATCTGCCAACGTAGGGTGAGGAGTGTGTGGAACCTTCCTCAGAGCCCATGTGCTGGAGGGCAGGGAGCGAACACAGCACAAGGTCCCGAGGAGGCGACTGGACCCTCCCTTTCAGCTGGGAGCCAAGTGACAGCTTCTCTGCTGAGCAGATCCTAGCGGCACGTGGGCATAAGCAGGTCTCACTTGTCCTGTCCTGGAAGCAACAAAGTCGATCTCCTCTGTCTGGCTCAGAATGCTTACGAGTAGGAGCTGCAGGACCCGTAGAGCCGAGCTGTGTCACAGACCTTCCTGCACAGAGTAAATATATGGCCCAGGTCCAGGAAGGACGGACCCCACCAGCCGGCACGTGCGCATCCCCAGTCCCAGGACGGACGGACCCCGCAAGCCGGCATGTGCGCATCCCCAGTGTCCAGGTTTCCTGTGGGTCTGTACAGTGCGGAGGGTGGGCGGCTGTGCGCACAAGTCGCCTTTGTGCAGTGCAAACAGGCCGCAGACCAGAACGGGGACGGGGGGGCGGGGTCAGCAGAAGGGCAGGGCTGATGCACGCCAAGCTCAAACCACTGAGTCCCGCAGGAGCATGTGCAATCCTGGTTCCAAAGAGGACTTTCAGGTGCAGCCAGACACAGGGGCACGGCCCCCAACGAGCACAGGAGAGGCTGCATGAGTGCCACGGCCAGCAGCACAGGAACCCCAGCGAGGACCCCTGCGTGTGTGCGTGCAAGCCCGGACAGCCCCGCAGCCTGCTGTGTGACCTGGAAAACACAAATGAAGCCCACAGCCTGGTGTGCGTGACTCTGGGTTCACGGCACGGACCCCAGCCCCAAATGGCAGGGGGGGCCACAGTGAAAGGCAGCCCATCTCCTGCCTGGCCCCTGGACACTGTAGCCACAGGCCAAGCCTCACTAAGAGGACACAGCACGGGCTGGCACCGGCCGTGTGCACTGTCCTCTCCCGTGGGGCTCCTGGACATCTCAAGGGATGGCAAGAGCTGGATGAGAGACCCAAGACACAGGGAGTAGCAGACCCCACCTCCTGGCCGCCTGCCAGACCTTCCCAAAAGCTCAGCCCGGAGCCCACGGTGGGGCCCCCGGGCTGGCAGTCTCCCAAGGGCAGCTGGAAGTTGGAAAATGCCCAGTTAGGCTTCTCTCTGGCCTCCAGCCGCTCTAAGCCTGTCCCAAACACACACCCTCACCTCGCTCTCCAATGAGAACTCCACAGTCTCCATGGCCTACTAAAAGGGTTCTGTGGCGGGGCTGGAGCGATAGCACTGCAGGTAGGGCATTTTCCTTGCACGCGGCCGACCCGGGTTCGATTCCCAGCATCCCATCGGGTCCCCCAAGCACCGCCAGGAGTAATTCCTAAGTGAAGAGCCAGGAGTAACCCCTGTGCATTGCCAGGTGTGACCCAAACAGAAAAACAAAAAGGGTTCTGTGGCATCGACGGTCACTGTGGACAGCAAGAGGATGGCAGGACAGCCCAGAAAGGCCCCGAGCAACAAGCCTCAGGAAAGGGGTGCAGGGAGATGCACCCCTGTCCCCGGGAGAGCAAACTGACCATTTCCCAGAGTCCAGAAATACTAGCATGGCAGGAACAAGGCGAACGCCCAGTCACGGGCTCCAGCTGGAACTGCGAGCTGTGAGTGACGGGAAGGAAGGAAAGTCTCTTCCAGGCTGCAGAAAGGAGCCTCCCAACCTGGCCCTGGCAGCAGGCACGAGTCACCACGTGACCAGAGTGCAACCATCTCCAGCAAACGGGGGCCTGCCCAGTGTGCCTGTGTGCATGCGTGGCTAAGCACATGTGCCGGTATGTGTGTGCAATCCCACAGTTGTGTGTGTGCGCAGGCGGGTGCAGTCCCACACCTATGAGTACATATGTGCACACGTGTGTATGAGCATGCCAGTGGGTATAGTCCCACAACTGTGCATGCATGTGTGCATGTATGTGTGCGTCAGCTGTGTGCCTGTGTGCGCGCGCATGCAGGTGGGTGTAGTCCCACAGCTGTGTGTCCATGTGTGTGCATGTGTGCATGTATGCGGGTGTAGGCTCATAGCTGTATATGTGCGTGTGCCTACAGACGATGCAGTACCACCGCCGTACGCATCTGGGATAACACGCCCAGAGCCTTCCATAGCGCTATTCCTCAGCCCACAGGGTGATCATACCTGCACCTATGAGAGGCCCACAGCTGAGAAGTCTCTCAGACTCTACGTGCCAGTGGCTGCTAGGCCCGAGTCTGAGGCACCAAGCTCTCTCCCGACAGTCTCTCCTTTTCTCTGCTCCGCATCCAGCCCTTGCCCCACCCTCTTCAGTTCCCAATGTTCCTTACTCCCAAGTCAGGTGCTGGCTGCCAGCCACCCCCAACACCCGCCTAAGACCCCCCATTTGAAATGCACCCCAGCACCCACTACTGCTGCTCTCCGGTCCCCCAAGTACGGGCCCCGACCAGCTGATCTGCTCAACATCTGTCCCCACATCAGTCCCGTCCCCCCGCTCACACACAGGAGCTACACACCGCGCTCCGCCACCCAAGGCGGCACTGTCACAGAGCAACCACGGAAATGGGGCTGCGGTGCATCACACAGGCTCAAGCGCCAACACGACGGGCCTGGCACTGCTGGGCGTGGGTCTGGGACCCGAGACCACGCTGTCAGCCACAGCAGTGTGAGGCCCCTGGGTGCCTGAGTGGCTGCCCAGCCAGATCTGAACCTTTTCATTTTGGGGTATTTTTTGTTCAGGGGGTGGTGGGGACCTGGGTCACATCTGACTGATGCTCAGGGCTTACTCCTGGCTCTGCACTCAGGGATGACTCCTAGCAGAGATCAGGGGACCATACGTGGTGCTGGTGGTGGACGCCAGGTCAAAGGCAAATGCCCTTCCCTCTGTCCTGTCACTCCCCACCATCCCTCCCCTACCCGAGTTCTGTGTCTACATTCCAACTTCACAGAAACGTCTAGCAGGGCTCCACTGCAACTGACTCGGCCTGAGGAGGAGAGCAGGGTCACCTACAGCGTCATTGGGTAGCACCAGAAGGTCTGTCAGACACTCACCAGTGGATGCCACCAGTTGCTGTTCACCAGATGAAAAATCAGAAATGCAAAAATTTCTCATTTTGTGTTTTGGTCAACTACGACATAAAACAACTGCAAGGACTATTTAAAAAAAAAAAAAGGCTACTGGCACTGGGCCTAAAAATGTGGCAACCTAGCGGGGCAGAAGGTTCCAAGAGTCGGAGTGCAGGGTATGCATGGGGAGGCTATGAGTCCTCCCGAGCACTGCTGGGACCATCCCCAACAGCCAGGAGCAGCCGCAGGGTACCACAGCGCACCACTGGGTGAGGGCCAGACGCTCCCAAAAGACGCAAAAACAGAGGAAAAAAAGACTTTTCCAGTACAAAAGCAACCTATTTGGCCCCTGAGGAGATTCCCAGGGCACACAGATGGGAATCTTATGGGACTGAGATGAACAGTGAGCAGGCATCTCTGCAAACTTCTGGGATCCACACCGGAACGGAGGGTGCTCTGGGTCCATTTCCACACTGGAGTCCCTGGGCATGGACTGGGGCTTCGGCCCTTGCACAAATATGGGTCTGAGGCCCTGTCTCCCCACTGGGCAATCAGAGGATGTTTTCCCGCTAGGGCAGATGCACCCCGAGGCTGTTCCCACCCAGCCCTGCCAAAACCTCCAGTTGAAGGGGCCTAGACAACTCCGTGTGGCAGAGCTGAACCCCAGCCCCTTCCCAGAAAGCTTGGCCAGTAGCAGGCATGGTGGACACCTCAGAGGGACAGAGATGGTTCGAGCAACACTGCAGACACCCGACAAGGCACAGTTACCCGCAACCAGCATGAGGCAGTTCTGCACAAGCCCTGAGGCACAGGTGAAGAGGGGTCCCCTGTGGCCCCCAGCCCAGAGCTCTGAGCTCCTCAAGTCTATATACAGTGTGTCCCCACAGGCCCAGGCAGGACCCTCTGAGCAAAACGGCAGAGATGCCCACAGAACAGAAGCTGCCCAGGCAAACCCACTGGCTGAGAGTCAGCCCAGCTAGGCCGCATGCACTGCTGGGCTCAGGGAACCCCTCGGCTGCTCCCTCCCTCGCCACATCACCAGGGGGTGGCATCAGTGACTGCCACTCAGTCACCGTACAGCACCAGCGCTCTGGCTTAAGGCGCCCCAAGTACATCTACACCAAAACAATAAAGGTGAGAGGCCAGACGGCAGCTCCTGTTCATGCTTCTAGATCACATGGACATCACACGGACTCAGGTGGAGGGTGGGAGGAGGTATCGGCAGGTCCAGGCCCCAGTGCGGCTGCTGGGGTAGACACCTCTATCAACTGACGCGTATCTGAAAGTAGGCCCAAAAATGGTTGACTTTCTTTATTCACTTGAGTGTCATACAAACCAATACATTGCATATTAAGATACACATTTTTATAAAGAGTAACTTGTGTCCCAAACAAGGGAATCTGGAGGAGAGACAGGCAGGACTCGGATCTCTTCAGCACCAAATCTGATGGGACAATGAGCTGGTCCTGCCTGCATCCACTGTGACCAGCTGCAACAGTTGAGGCTGATGTTTGGGTTGGCAATGGGAGCT